ACCAGAGAATATGTCACACCAATACTTCAGGCATTCTTCTATTGCTCCTTAGAGAAGCTGCCTCCTCGTATATCAGCTCGTCCGGGTCCAAAAGGTGTAACGATGTCCTCTCATTTGATGATCACTCTTACTCATGCTCGATGGTTCTTATCATTATTGGGCATCCATCAAGAGCTTCCTTTGCCTTCATCCGTGTTTCAACCATACATCTACATTCCTTTACATGGAACAGCTTTCAAATTGAAGCAGAAGGAAAAATTTTACGGCGATGATGCACCAGCAAAAGAATACTATGAGCTTCTTTCCAAAGGCAGGGTTTTTCAGGATTTCAAGAGGTGCATTTGCTCTGGCAGTGCCATTGATAATATTGGAGCTGTGTGTGTCCAGTATGCACGCACTAAAGATGCCATTAAGGAACTGTTAGACAAAAAAGCTCGATCCAGTAAAACAAGCAAATCAAGAAAGAAATAACTATTATAATTATTGTGTTGTGCTATATAAATTGTAAAATAATGTATATTAGAGTTAAAACATTATTATTAATAATGATTATAGTGTTGCGTCAAACACTTGGCAATTATTGTACAATCTTCATAATCTAAAATAATAAAACTACAAATAAAAATATTTAAATTTATGACATGAAATAGACTCTAGTAGTCATTTGGGTGGGTGCTGGGTAGTGCGTATACAATACATGCATGAATAAAAATAAAATCTTAAAGATGTCATGATGATGCATGGGTGGATCCTTATTCTGAATCTCAGTCATGTGTAAACCATATATCGTGTAAACAAAGGGAGACGGCTGTAGCTGATACAAATAGTTCATTATGGTAAAGGACTGACCAACTGGTGTCTCTACTAAAATGAGACACAACAGACTGGGGGGATCAGGTAAAGAATATGAGATAAAATTATCTACTTGGGAGAAGAGAGCGAAGGATTCATTGGAGGTCATGCGTGCATTCACATTTGTTCATAACTGAATACAATGCAAAGACTGAAATTAAATTTGGAAAAAATTAATCACTGATGCAACCACTCATTGTTACCGAGCTCATGATGACACTCCAAGAAGCAAAAGTTAAATTAATTAGAGTCTATGTGCAAAGGAAGAGGCTGATAATTTCATGGTGTGTACATGGTAACGTCTGTGGTATATTGATCAATGATACAGACATGATGCTGATGCATGGAGTAACGGCTATTCACTACAAGTTATTTGATCAAGAAGATGCTCTCAAACTTTGTAATGATCAAATGCCAGCAAATTACAAGGTTGCTAAAGTGCAATGTGGTGCTATTAGTCCTAGTTACCTTGCAAGACGCCTTAAAATTGATCAAAAGTGCCAACCAGCTCTCTCAACTCTTTGTGGTAATGATTTTAATAAATGATGAGATAGATATAAAGAAATTATTATTTGGATACATAAACTATGACTACGTTAGGACTTATGAGTTATGAGTATGTCAAAACAGTGCTCAAATGGATCGAGGACAATGAAGATGCTACACTGCAGCTATGCATTACTCATATGCCATTTATACACACTCTCATCCATTGCCAGCCTGCAATGCGGATTCTTCTGTCAGTACTACTGCTTCTTATCTTTATAATTTTATTGCCTCAAAAGTTAAAATAGATCACATGTGTTTGCCAGTTGTGTGTAATGGTATATTGTGGAGGGACGAGATTGAGCAGCTTGACAAAAAATTGTGTTGTGTTTATGATTTCCTTCAACCAGTCAGTCCATATGATCATCTACAAGCTACTTTGCTGTGAAAGTGTTACTGAGTTTGGCGAGAGTAAGATAAATGAGTATGTACAAAAACCAATAGATGTTCCAAGCCCGTGTGCCTTGACACACTCTGAAAGGAAATATCCCGTGAGCAAAAGATATCATTGCTTGTTGAAGTTTTCAAGAATCCTTATCGCATTGTTTTACTTCAGTCATTTACAAAATCTCTCAAAGATATACCTCCAACTAGTCGAGTTCCTGATATTGGCTCACTGCTGGCATGTGTTTGCTTCATATATTCATATCAAAACAAGCTCATACCAGAGGATTATGTCACACCAATACTTCAGGCATTCTTCTATTGCTCCTTAGAGAAGCTACCACCTCGTATATCAGCTGAGTCAGCTCGTCCTGGTCCAACTGGTGGAACGATGTCCTCTCATTTGATGATCACTTTTACTCATGCTCAATGGTTCTTATCATTATTGGGCATCCATCAAGAGCTTCCTTTGCCTTCATCCATGTTTCAACCATACGTCTACATTCCTTTACATGGAACAGCTTTCAAATTGAAGCAGAAAAATTTCATGGTGATGATGCACACTTCTTTCTCAAAATGACTGTCAAAGAACTGTTAAAGACTGTCATAATCACTTCTCTTTATTTCTATCTCAAATTTTTTTGCGAAAGAGTTGTTTTATAGTATCACAATAAAACCCTCGATTCCAAATGAACATTGTGAAGATCAAGTAATAACTGATAATAATTATAATGAGCACAATTTATCATTATTATTAGTAGTAGTATTTAAAATGCTACTACTAATAATAATGATAAATTGTGCTGGCAATGTCTCTGATTGATTGTGAACATGTTTGTCAGAGCACAAATTAATTCTTAATAACTTGTTAATTAAAATCATTAGCCATGAATATAAACTTTGTTCTAAATTTAGACAGAATGATGTCATCAAAACGGACACGCCTACCTGTTCTATTTTTATCTAAGGGGCTCTCCTTTGTTTATCAGCTACTACAGCTAGGTTTTCTGAGTATAAAAGGCCGAAATGAAGTGCTTGAGAATCAGTTCAGTAACTTCAGTCCATAGAAAAGGATGGGGGTGAAAGGACTATTGAAGTATATTAGAAACTGCCCAACCGGTGTGAGGCCAGAGCCACTCGTTCTCTCTACTGAAACGAAACGCAAAAGCAGAGATCCAACAGCAGCTAAAGCAATTCTTGTGTGTGACTTCATAGCAATAGTGTTCTGGCTATTGGACATAGTACACGATGCAAAGAAGTCCTCGGAGAGATATATTGCACTGTACGGTGCTGATTTCAAGGAATATACCTCAAGGCTCATCAGATTTGTGGAAATGCTGCGTCACATTGACATAGAACCTGTGTTCTTTTGGGATGGTCCAAGAGGATCGGGTAAAGAATACGAGATGAAGTTATCTACTTGGGAAAAGAGAGCAAGGGATTCATTGGAGGTCATACTTTTACACTCGCGCATAACTAAGTATGACCCAACGGCTGAATTGAGATTTGGAAAACGAATCATGCAACCACTCCTTGTTACTGAGCTCGTGATGGCACTCCAAGAAGCAAAAGTTGAATTAATTACGTGCAAAGGAGAGGCTAATAATTTGATGGCAGAATACATGCGTGTACATGGTAATGCCTGTGGCATACTGACCAATGATACTGACATGATGCTGATGCATGGAGTAACGGCTATTCACTACAAGTTATTTGATCAAGAAGATGCTCTCAAACTTTCTGATGATCACATACCAGCAAATTACAAGATTGCTGAAGTGCATTGTGGTACTATTAGTCCAGGTTACCTTGCCAAATGTCTTAAAATCAATGAGAATTGCCTACCAGCTCTCTCAATTCTCTGTGGTAATGATTTTACCAAAGATTTAAATGAAGAAATGGATATAAAGAATTCAGTACTTAGATACATAAACTATGACTATGTTAACACTTATGAGTATATCAAAACAGTGCTCGAATGGATCAAGGACAATGAAGATGCTTGCATGAGGTCAACCTCATTCTTAGCTATACATAAGATTGCTGATGTATGCAAGAAGGAACCACGCTACACTAGAGCTGTGCGTCACTCTTATGCCTTTTATACACGCTCTCATCCTGCTGTAGTTGCTGCAGTTATGCCAGCATTCTCCAATTCAATTAGCAGTGATAGTGATGATGAGAGTGAAGACAGTGCAGAAGAAGAGAATGATGATACTACTGCAATACCTTTTCATATAAATGATAACACCAATGAGTCAGGCCCTGTTACAGCACATTCAAGTAAAAATGAAGGCTCTGATGATGGGGATGACGACAATCACAATGACGATGATGATATTGTTGTTGCAAAGCCAGACAGCATTGATG